TTAGTTTTTATATAGTTTCTATGTAATTATTTATATAAATTACCTAATAAAGATATGAGCAAGGCCTCACCTTAACAACAAAAAAAAAAAAAAAAATAACTCTATTTTATATATTCTAGAAGCATATATCAAGAAAAGAATAATTATGAAATATCTAAAGCTTGGGCAAACCAGCTTTTCTAGATTGCTAGCTAGAAGTAAAAAAGAAACTAATAAAAAATCTAAAAAAAAAGAAAATTTAAATATAAATATCAGAGTTGTTATAAATTATATAAAAGCAAAAAGTAAATAATAGAAAACTAATTAAAAAAGTTGTAACTTGAGATATAGATCAGGTTATCATAGTATTTTAAAAGATGGTTTAAGATATAAATTCAATAATAACAGTACAACAAATACAAGTTAAAAAAGAAATTACTAAATATGCAAATAAATATATACATATTATATATACTTTTTTGTTAGATTTACTTTAAAGATAAATTAGTTTTAAAATGGCTAATAAACAGAGTAGTATTACAAAATCTATATATAGTATAGTAAGTTATATTTATATTAGATAGAGTTAGCCAAATATGTTGTAATTAGAAAGTTTAAATAGATAACCTTGTAGTTAGATTGTAGGTATAGCAAATAGTATAAAATCTTTAAATAAACTATTTAAATTAAATATCAAAAGTGTATATGTAGCTTGATATACTTTTATCATAATGTATAGTGTTTAATACTTAATAAAATTTTGCCAACCCAAGAGGTTCTCTAATTTTTTTTTTTAAAAAAACTCATATTACTATATATATCATATTCTCTAACTAATAGAGAGACTTTTAATAAATTAAATTTACACGTCTAAATTGTGTGCATGTTGCCGATCAGATGTGTTACATACATGTTTAAGAATATTAGGTAGTGTTTCACAAAAATTGTTCACCCCTGTAATTTTGACCAATCAAAATTTAAGATCAGGTGTAACGTGATAGTCAAAACAAATGCGTTTTGTTTTCTAAGTAAAAAGTTTCGCGTAAAATAAACCGCGTTATAATTAGGGTTAGGGTAAGAACAACGTAGAGTTAGGGCTGTTTTTATTGGTAAAATTCACGAGGACATTTTTAATTAGGCCGCAGAAGGTGGTTTTCTAATTAAAATTTAGAGCTATTCCCGTTTTTTTGGCTTCGCTTCGATTTTTACGTTACATCTGATCCTGAAATTCGATTGGACAATATTACAGGAGATGAAGATCCTATTAATAAATTCGAAAGTTTTAAAACTTCTAACGATGTTTTTATCTCAATGGCTATTTGATAAATTTTTTTTTATTTTAATTATATAAGTTATAATGTATATAAAGATCGTTGATCACGTTCCTGGTTTTAGTGCGACAGCTATCTTATCTGAATAATTATCTAGCGCTAGATAAAAATATCTATTGAACAAAAGTGTTATTTATTATCTGTATGATCCAGTTAATCCAGATAGAAAGATCAATAAATCTTAAAATTTAATCAGTTTTGCTAAAACGCACTTATGGTATTTTATCATAATCTTAAAAAATGGCTAATTAATCAGTATGCGGTGTTCTAAATAAAATTGGGTTACGCTCCTCCTAAACTCTAACCCTAACCCTATATACTAATCCTAACACGAAATAATTTGTGTCTAAATTTACAGTATATACAAAGCTTACCAAAGCTTAGAAAATTTATAAAGCATATAATAGGTGCAAAACCACCATACGTGCGTTTTACTGTATAATAATGTTTATTAATTATATTTCAGTATTTTATAAAAAATACTATCGCTATTAAATTTAATAATTAAAATATCTACAAAAAAAGTTCTTGAAATGCCAAATGTTTTTTAATTTAAAAAACTAAATAGGCATATATCATCTAAACACCATTGGTGCATCATAGTAAAGTTGGTTTATAAAAATTAATTTTTGCTTGATAATTAATCGGCTAAAAAAAATTAGATATATAAAGTTAAATGACTTTCTTACTATCGCTATATAGATATTTATCACTGAATTATTTGGATTGGCAAAAATACCGTTCCTGATAGATTTTAAATGAAAAAAGAACAATTTACGTATGTACCATTCTTGATAAGATTTTTAAAGAAGCTCTGAAATCAAACTTCGATGCTAAAGTCGTAACCATGATTAATCTATAATATTGGTTTCGATTTATTGTACCTAAAAAGTGAGCCTTAAGATAATACAGCACCATATCTATGCGAAATAATGCCCATGGGCGTTATTTGAGACACGTAATTTGAAGAGCGCTAATAATTAGTTTAGCAAAAGAATTTTTAACAATAAAGTTTAAATGACTGTATTCGGTTAAATTAGTCAATAGTTTTCTTTGAATTACATGTCTTAAAATAACGCCCAGGGATAAGGATATTTAGGTCGAAAAACTTTTACAAAATGACCGAAAGCTAATTTCTATATTTTGAAGTTTTTAGAAACCTATTAGAAACGGTACATAAATCGGGGATTTCATTTCATCAGTAATTTTGCATTATTTCAAGTTATTTAACAACTTTGATTTTATCCGATGCAAATCGCATTAGAGTTGGCAATCAACAGTCAATCTTAAACATTGTTAAACGTGACACCGCTTCTCTTTAATCTCTTCTAAACCGTTTTCATAAAAATTGCTAATACTGCAGCATGTGCATAAATAGTATAGCTTACATTTTACTATCGATATTGGATCAGAAAATTTGGTGTATTAACTCATTTTAGTATAGTTATAATACATTTACACAGTTTTTCATAGTGCATCTAATCGAACGAGTCTATCTGATTAGCGTTAATATATGACCCCGGGTATGCAAATAACGATAAAGCAGTAAAGTGTTTTTTTGCTATTCGCTGCATCTTTGATTGGGCGAATAAAGTTGCATGATCATATGTGTAACGTGACGATAAAGAAAATTCCGGTTGAGTTGGTTTCACCTAAACAATGAGCATCTTTTTTGGTACCTGACAGAAGTAAATAAAAAATTGGGGAGTCAACTTGTTTATTATTTGCATAAAAAAAACCAGTCTAACTCGATTGGTTTTTGAATTGATTAACTTGATTATTATAAGAACACCGGTTTCTCAGCCCGCATATAAAACCATGAGGCGACAATTTTAACTAGATGTTTGGGGCTGATTATGTTAAACACTACTCTGCTGACCTAAAACATGGCAGCCCAGTTTTTTAATGATTATCGGTGTGCAGTGTGTGTCACCATTCTAGCAATAAGCTTGTACGAACATAATTCATCTATTTTATTGGTCCACGTGAAATATTATAATAGTTTAATGTGACACAAACATTATATGCGCTTTCTTGGCTTTCTTGGAAGGCGCGGCATTAATATTACAATATCTTATCGCTATATACCGATATATTTAGATAAATGTTTCTAAAGCTAATTATTTACTGCAGTTAGCCATACAATGTGAATAACGATTAGTAGGTAATCAGATGGTTTTATGACGATATATGTATATTTACAAAATAGTGTTAGTGGCTTAAAAAATTTAGTTGCATTTATTTGGATGTGTCATTGTAACCTTGGAAGAGGGGGAAAAAAAAGAAAAAGGCTTGGCAAAAGAAACAAAAAGTTAAAAAATGATTGTTAATCCTAATAAGGTACCACAATCAAAGTATCTTTTTTAAGAAAAAATAATTGGCTAGATTTCTGTAATACACTAAATATTTTTTTTAATACAGTATCACCACGTTTACAGAATCTGGTGTAATCACAAATTAATGACTTACATGTGGAACTTCTAAATCGACTTATTGGTATAAAAATCGACTCAATGGTATAAAAAAAGTACTAACGCTAACGCTAAAACGTAAAAACGTAAAACGTAAAGGATTACAATTCTAATATAGAATATAATGATCGAATAGTCATTCGACAAACATTTTTTTTTAAGTGATTATTTATATTTGTGCAGGTGATCTTCATAAAACTTTTATATATATAGGCATAAACATTACGATTTTATATTTTCTTCTAGTAAACAGCCCCCCCACTTTGATTTTGTGCGTCCCCAACGTCAAAGTTAACAACCTAAAAATATTTTTTGTCAAAAGATGTGTTCTTTGACACCGTCAGCATATTTCGCATGTTATACTGTTGAAAAATCTGCTCAAGATTTAGATAGTAATTTAGATAATGGTCTTAGTTCAAATAAAGCGGCTGAGAAAAGAAAAACAAATGGTTATAATGAATTTGAAGTTGAGGAAGGTGATCATCCAGTTGTAAAATTTATTAAGCAATTTGTGGAAAATCCACTTGTCCTTTTACTTCTTTGCTCTGCCGTAATTTCTTTAATAATGGGGAATCATAAGGACGCATTTTCTGTATTCTTGGTTTGTATCAATTTTTCATCTATTTAATTTGATCCGATTTATCTTTATATTAATTATTCAATTTTTAATGTCATTTTCATTAAAATTAGGCTGTAACTATAGTCACTGCAGGTAAATTTATTTACCCTTTCATATCTATTATATATATATTACTTAACTCTAATTGATCTACATGATAAATAGTCGGTTTTGTCCAAGAATATAGATCAGAAAAATCTCTTGAAGCTCTGAATAAATTGGTTCCACATCACTGTCACTTAACTCGGTAAATATACATCGAATAACTCTTTTTTCGTAATATCCTTTTTTCTTAATTACGTTGATACTATTTTTTTTAAATAGTGATGGTCATTTGGCAACAGTTTCAGCTACCGAATTAGTACCAGGAGATCTGGTCCGATTCGGTGTTGGTGATAGAGTTCCTGCAGATGTAAGATTAGTAACGGTTGGTATTTTATTTTTATTTTATTTTTTAAAGGTTGTTAATTTGAAATTATTGAAATTCTGGTTAAAAATTAAATCTTTTAAGTTAGGCGGTAAATTTGGAAATTGATGAATCAAATTTAACGGGTGAGACTAAACCTAGAAAAAAGGCTATTGATGTAATTACTACTGAAAATAATTATGTGGAATCAATCCAAGAAAGAAAAAATATCGCATTCATGGGAACTCTGGTTAGAAATGGTAATATATAATATATTCATATATATTCGGTTTATTTGAAATAAAATATATTCTTTTAGTCTTTTTAGTTTTTTTAGTTTTTTTTTTTAGTTTATATTTAAATTTTTTTTTTTTTTTGTTTTAGGCCATGGATCCGGTATTGTTGTTGGAACTGGAAATAATACTGAATATGGTGTTGTGTTCTCTCTAGTAAAAGAGGTCGGGAAACTGATTGTTATTTTACGATTAAAATTATAAAAAAAATTTTGTCACTTAATAGTATAGTATTCTTGTTATAGGCCGAAACACCAAAAACTCCATTTCAGATTAGCATGAATGATCTTGGAAAAAAATTATCTTATTTGTCTGGTGCAATTATTGCAGTTATAGTTACTATTGGACTTATACAAGGGCGACAATGGCTGGAAATGTTTACAATTGGAGGTTATTAAAATTCTTTTTATTGTAATATTTCGATTTTTTTGATAGTTATTTAGCATTTCTTTTTTTTTGAATATAGTAAGTTTGGCTGTGGCGGCTATTCCTGAGGGACTTCCCATTGTTGTAGCTGTTACCTTGGGTTTGGGTGTTTTACGAATGGCTAGAAAAAATGCAATTATTAAAAAGTTACCTTCTGTTGAAACTTTGGGATCTGTAAATGTAATTTGTGTAGATAAAACTGGCAAGTGTATCATGATTTATTATAATCTGCATTTTTTTTATTTATTTATTTTAATTATTTATTAACAACCCATTTTTTACAATTTTTTAGGCACACTGACTGAAAATGTCATGACCGTCACAAAGATATTTACATTGGATGAGGAAAATACTTTTGATTTGGAACATGGTTTACCTGAAAAAACAAGTGTTGCAATGCGAGAAGTTCTTAAAATTGGTTTGTGACATTTATACATGTCAGTCTTTATCAATTTTTTTTTTTTATTTCAATTTATATAAAATCAACTATTCTGATTATTATTATATAGGAGGAATTTGCAATAATGCAAATATTGATGATGATGGAAAAAAATTTGGGCAGGCTACTGATGTTGCGTTGCTTGATTGTCTTATAAAGATGAATTTGGAAGATGAATTAGTGGTATGTTATTGCTTATCATATCTTATCATATCATATTGTTTGTCATATAGGTTATTCATGCTGTAAATAATATTTATTAACGTATTTATTAACAAATATAATACTAGGGATATGAACGAATTTCTGAAATTCCCTTTAATTCTGATCAAAAATGGATGTCTGTAACTTGTCGACGAAAGAATGATAATTCTTCTAAAGAAATTATATATTTAAAAGGCTCAATAGAAGTTGTATTGGGAAAATGTACATCTTATTTTGTTTCAGAAACTCATAAACCACCATTAGATGTTCCAGCAAAAGAGTCGGTGATGCGACATGTTACTGCAATGTCTTCTCTTGGTCTTCGAGTCCTTGCTATGGCATTTGGATCTGATCACAACAAACTTACTTTTGTAGGATGCGTTGCGATGTATGATCCTCCAAGAAAGGGTAACATTATTAAATTATAAATGATTATTATATGTTATTATGTATTATTATATTTTATATTGTATAGACAATTTATCTATATTATTATGTATACATAGGAGTTGAGAATGCTATAAGAGAGTTGATTGGTGGTGGTGTCAGAGTGGTCATGATAACAGGAGATTCTGGTAATTAAACACTCTTTATATAATCTTTTTTTTTTTTTTCCTAACTTTTATTTACATAGTATTACTTTATATTAGATCAAACTGCTCTTTCAATTGCACGAAAGCTAGGTATACCAGTAAATCCATCAAATCATTCTAACTGTTTAACTGGAGCAGATATTGAAGCGATGTCAAGTGAAGATTTAAGATCAGTTATTGGTTCAATAACTGTGTTCGCAAGAACAGCACCAAAACATAAAATGGCTATAATACAAGCCTTCCAAGCAAATGGTTCAATTGTAGCCATGACAGGGGACGGTGGTAAGTTATTTATTTATTTTTTTTTGCCATTGGAATATGTGTGCTTAATAATTTTTGATTTATATTCATATGTTACGTTATTTTCCTTAAAGTAAATGATGCACCAGCATTGAAAATTGCTGATATAGGCATATCTATGGGTAAAAGTGGATCTGATGTATCCCGAGAAGCAGCCGATATCATTTTAGTCAATGATGAGTTTGTAACTATATTGGATGCTGTAAAAGAAGGTACTAAAAGTTAATATTCATTTTAAAATGTTTTTATATGTTTAATTATACAAGAAATTAATGCGTCAAAACTTTTAAACAGGAAAATCTATATTTTATAATATCAGGAATTTTTTAACTTTTCAATTAAGTACAAGTATAGCAGCATTAACGCTAATTACCATGTCTACTGTATCTGGGTTACCAAACCCTTTAAATGCAATGCAAATTTTATGGATAAGTAAGATCCATTCCAATATATCTGTTGATAAAGTTTTACTATCTTTAAATTAAAATTTTAATTAATTTAATTTTAATATAATTTAGATATATTAATGGATGGTCCTCCTGCACAATCTCTTGGAGTCGAACCAGTAGATGAAAATGTAATGAGACAACCTCCACGAAAGAAAAATGCCCCAATACTTACACCAGCATTAGTAATGCGCGTACTTACTTGCGCCGCGATTATTGTTGCTGGTACTTTATTTACCTATATTACCGAAATGCGAGACGGTGTTGTTACAGCGAGAGACACAACTATGGTATGATATTTCAAATTTTATTTATGTCCGACCTAACCTGAAACTTTCAGTGCACTATTTTATACGTTGATTACTAATATTTTTTAATAATTAATTTTATCTAGACTTTTACTTGTTTTGTATTATTTGATATGTTTAATGCTTTAAGCTGTCGCTCAGAAAAGAAATCAATTTTTAAATTGGGAATATTTTCAAATCCAATGTTTAATTTAGCAGTTGCATTTTCGCTTATTGGACAATTATTAGTAATTTATTTACCATTTTTCCAAGCAGTTTTTCAAACTGAAGCATTAGGACTTGATGATATTTTTGGACTTATAGTTATAACATCATCAGTATTTTGGATTGATGAATTTCGTAAGCATTATCATAATCGAAAACAAGAGGAAGAAGATTATGGGGCGGTTGCTGCTATGGAAATGGCGTAACTTTTTTTATAGGATTTATTATTGTTTAAATAAAATTTTGATGGGGCGTAGAAATTTTTCTTTTTATTGTAATATATATATATATCGTCAAATTAGACTTTTTTTTTTTCTTTTTTTTTTTTTTTTTTTTTTTATTTTGAAAGCATATAGATTAATTTATAGAATGAATGTTTATAATTATACATATGAATAATTTTTCATACAAAATTTTTATCACATAATACGTACAATTATTTTCGAATATTGAAAATAAAATGAATTTACATTTGAGAAAATAATTACAGTTTTTGTAAAAGTATGAAACTTTTTTAAAAAGGGTGCTGGTCAAAATCCCGACAAACAGAATCCCGACAGGTCATAATCCCGACAAAAAAATCCCGACAAACAAAAATCCCGACAAATCCCGACGACTAAAATTATTTAGT